TCCTCTACTTTCTCACTCTACTTTCGCCTTTTCCCCTTATCCTCCTCTCACTTCCAATCTCCGACTCCGCAATCTTCTTCTCCGATTAAGCCTCTCCTTACCTCGAGCCGTAACTTTACTCGCCATGCGTTTCTCGATGACAATTACCTCTCATGTTCAATGCCTGAGAAGCCTCTTCGTATCGCCGTACTCCTCAGTGGCGGCGTTGATAGTAGCGTCGCTCTCCGTCTTCTTCATGCTGCTGGGCATTCGTGTACCGCTTTCTATCTCAAAATCTGGTTTCAGGTTTGCTTTCTTCTTCTGAATTCTCGATTTGGGTTTGTCTTAATTACAATCGTCTTGTTGATTTTGATGGAAAATTGGAATTTTTGAGAATATTTCTTAATGTTATGTAGGAAGGTTTTGAGAATTTCTGGAATCAGTGTCCTTGGGAAGATGATTTGAAGTATGCTAAACATGTTTGTGAACAGGTAAGTGTTCTTGATAAACCCTTAAGCCCCTGTGATTTTTTCTTCAAGAAGTTTCGATTTTTTTGCTTGTTTCAGTGTTCATACTAGTGGTGGTGTTTTTGCTAGGTTGATGTACCTTTGGAGGTTGTGCATTTAACAGATGAATACTGGGAAAGAGTTGTAAGTTCTTTCTTCAATTCAATGCTTTTTTTAAGTATGCGTAATGGTTTTGGTTTCTAATTGGATTTCGAACAATTTAAATCAGGTTTCCTACATTATTGAGGAGTATCGTTGTGGACGTACACCTAATCCTGATGTTCTTTGTAATACTAGAATTAAGTTTGGTATGATCTTCTGCTTTTAGTTGAAGTGTATATGTTATTGTGTCTCTGTTATTTTTGACTAATCTGCTACAGATCGACGTTATATGTTTCAGGTGCATTCATGGATGCTATCAGTGATATGAAGTATGATTACATAGCTTCAGGTCACTATGCGAAAGTGGTACATCCTCCTGCTGACCAAAATGATTTATCCTCTGTTTTGGAACTATCGCAAGACATGGTACTTACTCAATTTAACACTCTCGACTTTTATTCTGCGGGTATTTTAATGTATTTGCTTAGAAAGAATGTTACTTGTTGGGTTTATTTACTAATGCTTCTAATGTACATTGCTTTTGGTTTTCAGTACCATTGAAAGTCTTTATCTTTCTGTTTTTTTAGGTGAAGGATCAGACGTACTTCCTCTCACATCTCTCTCAAACCCAACTTAAGCGACTGCTATTCCCACTTGGCTGTATAAAGAAGGTACTCGATCAATTTCTATCTTTTGCAAAAATGTGAAAGATTTTAGTCCAATACCTCTGCTCCATTTGAAATGTATAACCCTTGTTTTCTGATGTACAGGATGAAGTTCGCAAACTAGCCACAAAATTTGATTTGCCAAATAAAGATAGAAAGGATTCACAAGGAATATGTTTCCTTGGGAAGGTATTCGTTCTGGTTTGTTCGTTTGGTTTACGGTAGTTCACCTAATGCAAGTCTGAAACATATGAATATTGTTTTCTGTAATAGATAAAGTTCAGCGATTTTGTGGGAAAACACATAGGTGAGATGGAAGGAATTATATTGGAAGCTGAAACTGGGGATTTTCTTGGTAGCCATCGGGGATTTTGGTTTTACACAATTGGACAACGTCAAGGCTTGCGTTTACCCGGTGGGCCCTGGTATGTTTCTTAACTGATCGGCCAAAATCGTAACTATTTCTGTCATTGTTTGTGATTCCAGCAATTGGCTCAAATGAAAATTGAAAGAAGTTTCTGGTTCTGATTATAAGAACACTTCAATAGTATTGAGAAAACGATATGGCATAACTTTTCATCACATACTGAGTGTAGTTTCTTTTTAGGTTTTAACTTTGTCTGTGATATCATGCTCTTCTGATTTGTGTGCAGGTATGTTGTTGAAAAGGACACGAAGAACAATGTAGTGTTTGTCTCAAGAAATTACTACTCAATCGACAAGAGAAGGCGGGTTTTCCGTGTTGGCTCATTAAGATGGCTTAGTGGGAAACCTTCAGGAAATGTTAGCCAGCTCCGTTGCAAGGTAAGGAACATAATCATTTACTTTCTATATACAATGGTTACTTGACACTGATAAGTTGAGAGGATTTTTATAGGTCCGGCATGGGCCTGGCTTCTACAGCTGCAGTTTTGAAATGGAATCAGAAAGAGATGTTGCGGTTGTACACCTAGATGAAGACGATCAAGGTCTAGCTGCAGGACAGTTTGCAGCCTTCTACGAAGGAACCACTTGCATCGGGTCAGGCGTAATCCTGGAGTCATGGGACGATCAGTGTTTCCCGGTCTGCGCAAAAGCCCTTCAACTCGCAGCGATGGAAGACAAAACCAAACTTGGGAAACCCGTCAAAATCATGACGATGCCAGTTACGCCATCCGTTGAGGCTGATCCAGGAGAAACCACTGTAGAAGAAAAACTGGTCAATGCGTGAGACTAAGGAATGGTGTAGTCTTAGATAGATCCGAAGCGTTAGCTAGCTGAGAAGCTGACAAGATCATACTATGAGCTTCAAAATTTGATGGACATTTTTAGTATACACAATGTGTATTGTTATTTTTCTTAGAATTTCATATTTGACCCCTTATAACTTAAGTGTTATGAATTGAGTATATATTTACTTAAAAGTTTCATATTTGATCCTCTGTTTCGGAGGAATTATTACAATCAGAAGAAGATGGACACTGTGTATGTTGTGTGCAAGGAAACACACTGTTGAAGCATATTAGTCATGTGAAACGCTAAGATTTGTCTCGATCTCTGACTTCCATGCAGGAGAAACACAGGCCCGAGGAACATGCCTTCAATCCGGAGTTGGTTCGTGTACTTTTTTCCTCGTACTGGCAACTGCAGTGTTTTTCTAAGTGCTTGTAACCTTGTCATTTGATTTCGCATATTCTTCGTTTGATCAGCGAATGACTCTGTTTTTCAGCTGCATCATGGCTAGGACTCTGTTTTCTTTCTCGAGATTTCTCGCAACCGCGGTGACAATACTAGCCCTTAGACGGCAAGTTTGAGAGATCATCGTCTATTACAAGTATGTACATGAAAATAGTTTCTAACTCTAAGATTACATAAAAAAAATGTGTAAATTCTCAGTGGTTACAGTTGGATTTGGCGACCCTACGAAGCAAGAAACATAGGTGAGATGAGTAAGAAGACAATTTTTATGCGTGGATTATCGAACAAAAGATAGACAAGTTTTGTTATTTTTAATTGCATTTTCTTTAACTTCATATGGTAGAGATTTACACGCGCACATGTCTCCATGTGTTTGTCTACTAAAATATAGCA